CTTGATTATTGGCTCTTTTGATTCTTGCCTTCTTTCTCTATAATCTTGATTGTCTCAATTCCTTCTTCTTGGTTGTTAGTTTTATGTTCTTGATTGTGAGTTTTGGATCTTCTTCTTCAATATGTTTTCTTCTGTATTCTTGTATTGATGGAATTACACAAAAAATGATAATCATGCATGAATTGATGATCATAACCGTATTTATATTTCCATTTGTATTCTGCCTATCATCAAATACAACCCTAATGGATTCGGCCTCTACATATATAGTCAGGTTCACACTTTATTTGGGTGCCCAAGCCCATAACTTTTATTCTTTATTAAGTCACTTTAATTAAGCTTGACCTTAAAATAATCTTTAATGCACGCTTAATTACATATGTAAATCCACATGACAGATTAAAACCCTACAATCTCCCTTTGGGCCGCATATATTACCTTTAGAAACGCATATAACCTTATGAGTTCAAAATTTTTGTTATCGTAATCAAAAGTATCTCCAAACAATTTCTTACATCAATTGTGTTAATATATGATCAAAGAGATCTTCATTATGAATATCATAACTAAATCCATTAATGGTCATGTATATCAACCTAATCAAATGACATTGATTAAGCGTCGATGTGTAGCACGGAAGTTACATTTAATGTGATCCAAACATCATTATTTCCAACTGGTCATACATTATTTTTTAATAAGATCAAACCAAAACTTTAATCAGAGTAAACTGAATTGAATACTTGATTTTTTTTATTTTTTATTTTTTTTTACAAAATAACCTAAATATCTATTAGCACAAAATGTGTCTGGATGAGACAACAATCAAATATAAATTTCCACTAAACTCCCATATCATCAAAAGATACAACATCCAAATGAGCGGTATGCTAGTGAATGACCTTACGTGGTAGTTCTTTAGTAAGCGAATTCGTAATCGTGAAGTTTGTCATTATATGCTCTATAGAACATTGATGACTCTGAATTCTTTCTTTAACAACTAAAAAACTTAATTTCTATTACTTTTACATCATCGAACTCTTACTGGAATACATCGCAGAATAACTTAAGTGGTTTTCCAATTCGATCCAAAATGTGATCATTTAATTTCCTGTATGTGATCATGTAATCCTTAGTTCTCTATAGATTTTGAAAAATCCGATTGACTGTTTTCAAATATCAATCCCATAGTTACATAAATATTCATCAACATTCCAACAATGAATGTTATATTTGGATGTGTGCAAGCCTAAGCCTATATTAAACTCTCAACTGCTGAAGCATAAGGATTTTTCTATATTTCATTTTTTAAAGTTTATCCTTAGAGCATTGTGTTCGTCAAAATCCCGCAAGCGTACGAGTTTGTTGTACAAGTAATAATCGTAATGAGAGAGTTATTATCCCACAGGTAACGAGGATCAATTCTAGTATATTTGATATATATAAATTCGTGTTCATAGCCGAAAGATGATTGATGAATAACTAACTAATTTTTATAACTAAAACTTATGAAATCAATGAAAGTTGGTTTAAAAATCAAGTGTGTGAACGTATTGGATTTTCGATGCCATTGATCAATTCTTAGTTCTAATTCTCAACTAGTAATAATTATCTCAAATTATGCAATTGCGACGATCGGTAATTCTACTTTTATTTATTATTCTTTCCCAAGATATAATAAACCTATGTTTACCACGAGACGATCCTATTTTTAGTTCGAATTCATATGACAAACATGCATTGAAATTTAGGATTATTACATATGATCGCACACACTATAAATATTATTCCTAACATTTATTGCCCGTGCATCCCAATAATAGTATTCTACAGATTGCGAGTTTTCCAAAACTATGAATAGGCAACTTATTGTCATAATGGTGTGCAAGCATTAAAACAATATAAATAGGCATATTAATGGAATCACAATGTAAGATTCAACACAAAAACACAAAGTCTCGAATTAGAACTAAAAATTAAACAATTGTCATCCATCTAATACATGAAAAGATTTAGCCTAGCATCATATTGGAATTAAAGATGTAAAAGAGAAAGAACATCACCGAAGATTGATAGAACGTGATTAATGCTCCAATTAGAGTTGTTGTATTCTGTCCTTTTTTTTCCTTCTAATTTTCAGCCGACTTCTGCATGTAACTACTCCCTGTGCGTGTATGTTTGTGTATATATTAATTCTAGCCAGCAGCTTTCACGTCTTTTATTTTTTATTCCCCCAAGAAGAGTAATTTTCTTCTAGGTTATTCTCCCCAGTTTGGGTCTAATTCCTCTCCTCCAAAGCTGCCCAATTCTCTGTCCAGAATCTCCAATTCAGCCCTCCACTTTCACCAGCAGCCGTCCCCTCTAGTTGCTAGGTTAATCTCCCCTTTTTTCGAAGTGCAATTCCCAACCAGTAGCCTGTGTTTTTGTTCCAAATTCAGCCCCCACGTTTTTTTTCCCAAGACTCCTTTTGAATTCAATTAAAAGTCCAACCAAAGCCCAATTCCATTTTTCTTTCTCAGCCGGTCATAGCAATTTTTTTTTGTGTAATTAGAAGTTCAATCCACTAATTAAAAATATACGGTCCAAGCCCATTTGAATCCATTCTCATTGAAGTTCCAAATTGAGGCCCATTTAATGTGATGCTTGTAAAATAGTGCAATTTAATCCTTGATGTCATCCATGTGCAACCAATGTCATCCTCAAGTTCAAATTTGTGGAATTTAATCCCAAATTATAAATTTTATTCGATTATGTCATTTTTCCTTTCCACTTGCTTCAAACAAGTCCAACACTAAAAACAGAAAGAAAATTAACCTGAGTTAAATAGAAATTAATAATGTTATGACTTAAAAGTTTAATAATGTTACATAAATAAGTGCACAAATTGTACTTATCAAACACCCCCAAACTCAAACTTTTGTTCGTCCTCGAACAAAACTATAACTTAAATAGCAACAAACACACAAGCATGAAAAAAAATTTGGTTGGACAGTTTAGCCTTTTACCTCAGGATTTGAGATTACTGTATTAAATCTTTAAACTGCTTCAAAGTCACAATATCAAACCAATATCCATTGTTGCAATACAAAGCTGACGTGTGTGTCTGAGGAACTAAATTGACAATAATGAATCCACAAGTCGCTCTAATTCCAGACCCTCTATGGTCAAATATATCATTTCATCTCTCGTAAGATTCACACACCCCCCAAATTCCTTCTTTTTCACTCTTTTTCTAGCTGTGATCTAAGATTGATTTTTTTTTATTACTATCCTCACCCTCTCCAATTTAGGTGGACGTTACTGATTGTAAGTCAACACATCAATGAACAAGGATTCTCCAATTATTTGATTGCTTCGACCGTTAATACTCAACTAAGCTAATTATCCTTCATCAAAAGTCAATTTTACTCGAACAAGTGTTGGAACTTAACAACGCAATAAGTGCGTTTGCTTTTTTCATGCACTTGCTTTTTCTAACTTTTAAAAGATTTTGTTTTTTTGTTTTTTTTTTTTGCACTCCCCTTTAAGCTTTCTAGATGACCCATGTAATAGGCTTTAGGCCGATGACTCCCAAGTCAGACGACTTTAGGGCATCAGATTTTGAAATACCCTTACAGGTTTAATAACCCGAGAAAAAAAGGCTTCGAAGAGAACAATTTTTTTAGGGCAACTTCATCTCTGATTGCTTCCTAAATGACCCCTGTAACGAGCTTTATGCCGATAACTCCCAAGTCAGACGACTTTAGGGTATCAAGTTTTAAGATACATTTGCAGGCTTAATTACTCGAGTCATATATGCCTCAGAGAGAAATTTTAAATTTTAAAATATATGCATCGACTAGTGCAATGCTCCTTATCACACACCTATTCAAGCAATCCGACCTCCAATTTAAGACTTTCACCTAATTTTATCATGTTAATCTCAGACAACCCACACAAACTTTTTCACAAAAGGAATCCACATTCACATCTTTATCTTCCTACAACTGTAAGATCTCCCCAAATTGTGCTAATTTTGGTCTAAAGATAAATAATTTGTATGGTTTAGGTAAGGCCATCTATGTCTAGCTAAATCAATCTATCAAATGCATGAATCAACTTATTTCATCACAATGTCAAACTCAATTCTAGTGTGCATATAATATCAAGTTTTGTAAGTTTAAGTTTCAATTAATCTGGCATACTTTCTATCCACAGTTCATAAATCAACACCAAATCTCAATTTAATTATTATTGTTGGCCAAACTGTGTAACCTAGACAAGCACACAACCAAAAATAAACAAATCAATAAGTAAAAAAAAAAATGTAACAATTTATTATTATTATTATTATTTTTAACTTAACACACAAAAACAAACACACAACAACATACGAAAACCAAAAACTTAAATTTTTTCCCATCCCTAAGCTTAAACCTGACATTGTCCTGAATGTCTTAAAACATAATTAAGAATATAAGGGGATGAGGGAAGAAAAGGACAAAGGTACTCGCTGAATATTTCTGTTGAGCGCAGAAGATACTATAGGTGATGGCTAGACAATTTTTCACGTCATACTTTCCCCTTGGTCTATGTTAGTTTGAGTGTTCCACGATGTCATGTTCCTATCAAATCAAATATTAGAGATTAAATAATCTAGAACATGCGTTACTTAGCCCAAACACTCGAAATAACCAACATTATATTTAAGGGCCTCAGTGAAAACATGATGGGATGATGATACCCTATAAATTTAAACGTGCCTAAATTTAATGTAAACTAATAATTAAAACAAATCTATATGAAATGCGATTAAGAAATCAAAATAAATAAGGATTAAAAAATTGGGTTGCCTCCCAATAAGCGCTTAATTTATAGTCTTTAACTATACTTTGTTGTCCTGACTACTCTGCATTGTTAAGTGACACGGTTGTTTTTTCGCTGGAGTAGTCACCTCCCCAATAAGCTTTCAACCGTTGTCCATTTACTTTGAACCTCTTTTGTTGATCTTGAGACACCACCTGTGTGGAAACACAGCTACTACTGTGAATGAACCCGACCACCTAGACTTTAGCTTTCCTGAAAAGAGCTTGAGGTGTGAATTGAACATCAATACTTGCTGACCGACCTCAATCTCCTTCTCCCTTATATGTCTGTTGTGCCATCTCTCAGTCTTTTCCTTGTAAATCTTTGCATTCTCATATGAATCCAAACAAAACTCATCTAGCTCATGAAGTTGTAGAACCCTTTTTTCTCCTGTTGCCCTCATATTGAAATTGAGCAAGTGTGTCGCCCAGTATGCTTTATGCTCTAACTCAACCGACAAATGACAAGTCTTTCCAAATACCAAACAAGATGGAGACATGCCAATTGGAGTATTAAATGTTGTTCTATATGCCTAAAGTGCGTCGTCCAATTTCTTAGCCCAATCTTTATGTGATGCACTGACTGTAGCTTCAAGAATTTTCTTTAACTCCTTGTTGGATATTTCCACTTGCCCACTAGTCTGAGAATGGTATGGAGTCGAGACACAATGTTTCACTCCATATTTGATGAACAGCGAAGCAAATAGGCGGTTACAAAAATGCTTTCCACCATCACTAATAATTGCACTCGGCATACCCTATCTCGTGAAAATGTTAGTTGGCAAAGCCATAGCTTCAACCCACTTAGACACGTAGTCCATTGCCACCAGTATGTATTGTTGACTGTAGGATAGAGGGAATAGTCTAATGAAGTCAATGTCCCAAACGTCGAATATTTCAACTTCCAAAATACTATTCAAAGGCATCCCGTTCCTCGTTGAGATGTTTTAGTCCTCTGGCACTTATCACAGTGTTTCACCATCTAATGGGCGTCCTTGAACAACGTAGGCCAATACGGTGCAAAGTGACATGATTTCAATTTTGGATGCTGCTCTACTTCTGGAACACAACGGCGTATGATATGATCTGGACTTTTTCTGTAAAGAATTGGATCATCCCAAATGTAGTGTTTTAAGTCACTGAAAAATTTATTCTTCTGATGACTCGAGTAGTCCGGTGGGATGATGGAGCGAGCCAAATAATTTACATAGTCGGCATACAATGGTGTATAATGATCTAAAAAAGCATCTCATCTGGGAAAACTTCATTGATCTCCTCTATAGGGTGTGATTCATGTGATTCAAGGCGAGATAAGTGATTTGCAAAAACCTTGTTTGTGTGAAATTCGCAAACGTACGGGATCGTTGACAAATAATAGATTTAATGAGTTAGAGTATCGTCCTACAAGGAATAAAATTTAATTGAGTGTACTAGTCCTTAATTAGATTCAAAGCGAACAAATTAAAAGTGATTTTTGTTGATTTTTAATTATTCTAATTTAATCTACGAAAACGTGTAAAATGTGAATTTAAAATGTATATGGAAAGAGTGTATTGGATTACGAATCTACCTATTATTATCTATTCCAATTCTCAACTACGTAGCTAGTTTCGTTCTTGCATTCTTGACATTGATAATTCTATTGTAATTAATTTTCTTTTTCAAGTCAAATTATATCTATCCTATTCATGACCCGATCCTATTTCTAGTCCAAATTTATGTGAATAGAATGCATTGAATTTCATAATTATCTCAAAGATTGCACGTATAATAAATCTTATTCCTAAAATTTATTGCACGTATGTTAATCATGCAGTGTTCTAAACCTATTGTGAGCTTTCCAACACTACAACAAGCAATCATATATTTAATTGGCGATCAATCAATCAAATAATAAAATTACGCATGCAAGATTAATAAAAAATTACAAGAATTTAACTAAACCACGTGTTTGAATTAAAAATAAATAATAACGGATTCCATCTTCATCCAATACATAAGAAAATTAGCCTAGCATAATGTTGAAATTAAACAAAGAAAGTTTAGACGACATCACCAAGAAATTGACGAAACGTGATTAAATCCAAACATATTCTCGGCTTTGCATGTGTTTGTATTTTTCTTCAACTTTGACCAATTGTTTTTCTTCTCAAAACTTCCTTTTTTAATTGTGTGTATAAAGAATTAATTCCACAGCAGGCAGCCCCTTCTCTTTGTCTCCAGCAGCGTGTAAGGAAAATATATCAACTCTAAGTAGCCTTCTTTTCTCTCTATATGAATTCCTACTAGTTGGCCTGTGATAATCTATGGTTTTGTCTTTCTCTCACAACAACAGCCGACATCTTCCTCAATTATTTCTTTCCTAGGCAGTCGTAATACTTTTGTAATTCCCAATAGTTGGCATGTGATAATCTCCATCAACTACCATTGTTTTTCTTCAAAACCAATTCCAATTGTTTTGTGGGCCGCCATTTTATTTCTGTAATTTTTCCAAGATTTGCAGTCACGTTCTCTCTTCTTCCCTTTTTATCTCTGATCTCCAAATCATATTCTTACAATAGGAGTACCCATCAAATAAGTCTCAGCTTTGCGTCCTTCTTGCTCATTAGATATTTTAAGGCTATATGATCTTTGTTGACAATCACTTTTGACCCAATCAAATATGATCTGAATTTATCAACGGCAAACACCACTGCCAAGAGCACTTTCTCTGTAGTAGCATAATTCATTTGAGCCTTATCCAAAGTTTTACTGGCATAGTGAATAACATGAGAAATCTTCTCCCTGCGTTAACCCAGCACCGTTCCCACGGCATGATCACTGGCATCACACATAAGCTCAAATAGATAATCCCAGTTTGGAGGAGCCAACACGGAGTAAAAACCAATTTTTCATTTAAAGTGTTGAAAGCAGTCAAGCACTCCCCAGAAAAGTGAAATAGAGCTCCTTTTTCCAAAAGATTGCATAATGTCATCGAGATTTTGGAAAAGTCTTTGATGAAGCGACGATAGAACCCATCGTGACCTAAGAAACTTCTAACTCCCTTCACTATTACCAGAGGTGGTAGTTTTTGGATGACTTGTATCTTAGCTTATCTACCTCAATATCCCGTACAGAAATCAGATGTCCTAACACAATTACTTCCTGAACCATGAAATGACATTTTTTCCAATTTAATACAAGGTTTGTGTCTTCACACCACTGCAACACTTTTCCCAAATGTTCAAGGCACTCCTTAAATTATGTTTCAAATACTGAGAAATTATCCATAAACACCTTAATGATATTTCCCACCATGTCGGAGAAAATAAACATCATACAACGCTAAAAGGTGGCAGGAGCGTTGCAAAGATCGAAAGACATTCTTCTGTAAGCAAAAGTGCCATAAGGGCATCTAAAGGTCGTCTTCTCTTGATCATCTGGCGTTATAGGAATCTAGTTGTACCCCGAATAACCATCTAAGAAATAGTAGTAAGCATGTCCAGCAAGTCTTTCTAGCATCTGGTCAATGAAAGGAAGGGAAAATGATCATTCCTTGTGGCGTTGTTGAGTTTGCGATAATCAACGCAAACTCTCCAACCCGTGACTGTGAGTGTCGGGATGAGCTCATTGTTTTCATTTGGAACCACTTTGATCCCTCCCTTTTTCGGTACGACCTGCACTGGACTCACCCAATGACTATCTGATATAGGGTAGATGATCCCTACATCCAGAAGCTTTAATACCTCTTTCTTTACCACTTCCTGCATAGTCAGATTTAATCTACATTAATGCTCAACAATCTATCCTATTGCTGTCTTGTGCTCTCGAAGTACCCTTAGCAACTGATCTTCCTCTGATTCTGTAAGATTGTTTGAGATAATTACTGAAAGTGAATTCTTTTCCCCTAATTATGCATAGCGAAGATGAGTGGACAGCTGTTTGAGTTCAAGAGTTGGAGTTTGTTGTATAGATGGTAAAGGTGTTGTGGGTCTTTCACCGAGCTCCAAACGTGGTTACTTGAAGAATGGTGGTATGGCTGCCAAATAAGGTACACATTCTTCTGCTTCCTCCTTTTCTGATGGTAAATCCTGAGAATGCACTAAACATGCCTTAAGCGGATCCTGAGGGTGATCTAGTTTGAATGTCTCCGACACCGCTTCTTTTATTACGTCAATTTGCATGCAAGAATCCGGTGCACTCTGAAATCTGAAAGCTCTAAACAAGTTGATTATCAGTTCTTCTTCCTTTAACCTTAATATCAACTGACCCTTTTGCAAATCTATCAGAGCCCTTCCCTTAGCCAAAAATGGGAGACCCAATATGAGGAGAACATCCATATCTTCTTCCATATCTAGTATAATGAAGTTCCCTGGGAAGATAAACTTGTCGACCTTTACCAAAATATCTTCACAAATACCTCGAGGGTGCTTGATCAACCTGTCAGCCAACTGCAATGAAACTGTAGTCAATTTTCCAAACCTAGTTTCTCGAAAAGAGATAAATGCATTAAATTAATGTTAGCTCCTAAATCACACAATGTTTTATCTATATATAAATTACCAATGTTATAAGGAATAGTAAAACTCCCTAGATCTTTTAACTTCGGTGGTAACTTATGTTGGAGAATTGCGCTACACTTTTTAGTAAGCATGACAGTTTCATTGTCCTCTAGCTTCCTCTTATTTGATAGAATAAATTTCATGAACTTGGCGTAGCTAGGCGTTTGAGCTAAAGTTTCAGCAAATGGTATGTTAATGTGCAGCTTCTTGAACATATCCAAAAATTTCTGGAATTGCTTGTCGAGCTTGTGTTTTTGCAATCTCTATGGAAATGGGATTGGAGGCACATATGCTTTGATAGGAGTTGCCTTCACCTGTGGACTATCTGATGACTCAACTTGATTTTCCTTTTTGGCTTTGTCTGATTCATCTACTTGCTCCTCGCCCACAGTAGGTGCCTTTTCTATGACAGTTGATGGCCACTTTACATGTATTTTTGGTAACTGGATGCTACTACGTATAGTGATTGCTTTGACCTGCTCATTAGGATTTGTTTCAGTATTGTTAGGCAATGTCCCTGGAGCTCTACCTGATAGTGCGGCTGCAATTTGTCCAACCTGTTGTTCCAAATTGTTGATTGAGGCTTGTTGGTTCTGAAAGTTGGTCTCGATTTTAGTAACTTATTGAGCTATCAAATCTTCCAACGATGTCTTTCTCCCTTGCTCTTGTTGCTGTTGGAACCCAGGTGGTTTATTCTGATTGTTTTCTCCTTGTTCTTGTACCTGATTATTGGATCGAGAAAAATTTGGATGGTTCCTCCAACCCGGATTATATGTGTTAGAGAAAGGATTATTTTGCTATCTTTGAAAGTTCTGCGCGTAGCTTACTTCTTCAGACTGATTAACATACGTAGATGCCAAAGG